CGCGCCCCGCACCCCCGCCCGGCCCGGGCGCCGCGCTCGCGCCCATTCAGCCCGGGACCGTTCGCCCCCCCCGCGCCGCAGCGGAGGAGGGATGCGAAGTGGGTCACATGGATGCGGGCGACCAATTGGGGCGCGCGAGAGCTCCAGGGGGCCCCGCCCCTAGGGCGCGCGCCCCTCCGCCCGACAGTGCTGGGGGTTCCTGGCCGAGCGCCGGGGCTGGCGGCGGGGCGGCTGGGATTCCGTGGGCCCTCTGCTCTCTCTAGCTTTGCGCGCGGCTGGAAGGTGGAAGGCACTAACGAGAACAAAAAGTTGAGGCTGGTTGTGGTTTTTTTGCGGAGCCAGTGAATAAAGGAGCTTTACGTAGTCACGTGCCGCGCTTGCCGGCAGCCTCACGGTCCTCTCCCCAGGGCTCGCGAGGCAAGCACGAGGGACTTGCAGAACAGCCTCCTGTTCATGTGTCGGAGGAAAGGGAGATAGCGCCAATCATCCAAGCCAATATTACGCAGGGGATAAATGAGGCCCAGAGAAAGGCTGCTGTAAGTCACTGGGATATTTAACGTGCGACCAGGACCAGAAATTGGGCTTCGAGCGGGCACTTCTGTACCTCCGGATGCCACCTCCTGAAGAGGTGCCCCCATTCTGCAGAAGAAATGTCATACAGTTTTTAGAAACAAATATTAGAGACTCTCTACAACCAAGACTTGAAAGCACCCCTATTTCCTTAACACAGCAGCTGAATGTGAGCATTATGCCCCAGCAACGTTCCTGTGCCTTACTTAGGACTTGCTGATGGTTAGGTGAAGACCCTCTGGCTTTTGAGAAGTTCCTTTCGGGTGAAGTCAGACCAGACAGCTTCTGGGCTTAGTCTATGATACTGCTTTTCGGTTTGAGAAGAAAGATCTAGATCCAGAGCTAGAGCCTTTCAGGGAAAACCAGGAGCCTTGCCACTCTTCTCAGAAGCACCTTGTGTAGAGCAGTTGGTTTGGAGAAGTTTCTTGTCATCCCTTGGTGGGAATAAGAATGCTGGGAAAATGTACCTGGGTAGGCAAGATCTAGAGCAAAAGCATTGGTAAGGAATGGATGGGAGGGCTCTGCTTTCACTCCTTTGCAAGAGGTTTTGCTAGAAAAATACAGTATCTGAGTTGGTGTAAGTTGAAAATACTGGAAGCATTTGGGGATAAAATGGAGGACACTGCTGCTGGTGAATTTAAAGCCAGTGGCCAAGGCTAGGGGGACAGAGCAGCTACGTGGGGTGGTGACACCTGCAAGAATGCTCTTTGTCTTGGAGACCAGCCCAAGGCCTGCCTGCTTCTTCAGACATTTGGCCTCTTTGACTCTGCTATTTCTTCCCTTTCTTCTAGATGCTCCTATCTGTAAAGCCAGGCTCCGTTAGCTTTATCAGCCTTGAGAGCCAGCAGCACCCTTGCTTGGAAGAGTGTGTGCCAGATGGGGTGTGAGGAAGAAAGGAAATTTGAAGCTGCCTTCGGTCCTAGCGTCAGACAGCATCTGTTAAGAAGCAGTCACGGGGCCTGGCCCTAGCTCAGTTCTTTAAGTGGCTGCTTCCACAAAGCTGGCAGCCTCAGGTTGCTGTAGTTCAAGCCCCACAACACTCCAGCCAGCCAAAAGTGCCCTGAAGGCATTCGAGGAGAAAAAAAAAATCCTTATAGGGGCTGGTGAGATGGCTCAGTGGTCTAAAGCACCTACTTAGAACAAGCTTAGCAAAGCACAGTGACTGCGGTTCAATCCCCCAGCACCACATGCCAGCCAGCCCGCCCCCTGGTGGGCTGAGCTGGCCACACACACACACACACACACACACACACAAATAAATAAATAAATAAAATTAAAAAAAAAAAAAGAAGCAGTCACTACCCACTCACCCATGGATACTTAGTAGAGGGAGATGTTGATTCCCTCAAGCCGCAAAATGAGCCCTACCTGGAAGAGCCCCAAATATTGTGTAGAGTTCAGGACCTTTTTCTGAGACAGGGTCTCACCAGGTAGCTCAGGGTGTCCTTGAACTCATCGGCCTGCTTCAGCCTCCCAAGTGAAACACCAATTTTACTTAAGAAAATAGCTGATGAACTAAAGTTGTTCCAACTTGGGTATTTGTCAGATGCTCTCTTAAAAATAAACTAAGAATGCTTGTATCTTTAGGGAAAGCAATTGACTATTTGCTGCTAATGATTTTTAAAACTTACAATTTTGAAGGGAAATTTAGAATTTTGGAAAACTTGAACTACTAATGAGTTTGACAGCCTGTCCATATTTAAGGATTTTTCTGGTAATAAGGTATATGATGTTTGGAAAGCGTATAGTATGTTTTCATTGGAAAGACATGTTTGCTCAGTGTAATGATTGATGCATTGTGTTAACTTGAGAAGTTTAGAAGCTTAACTAAGTGGCTCAGCAGGGAGCCAGGGCTCTTGGTAAATATCCTGAGCCTGTGGGAGAGGGACACAGAGACTGCGTGGGCCGGTATCCTGCATTCAGTATAAGGGAGGAAAAGAGGTTTGATTTTTCCCAACCTTTGTTGTTTTTGCTGTCTTCTTGGCCTGAAGTATTGCCCCATATCATGTCACCCTGGCTTACAGTCAACTGATTATGGACTGAAATCTCCACAAATGGAACTAAATAAACCTTTCCTTCCTTAATTCTGGGTGTCAGGTCTTTTGTCTGGCAATGACAGAAAAGTAACCAAGACACTCTGTAAGTTGCTTTCCAAATGGTTAGTGACAGTTCCGAAATCCTATCTAGGGCCGGCCAAATAGCTCAGCTGATTAAAGCACCTGCTTAGACAGGCTCAGGGGTCCTTGGGAGTTCCATCCCCTGGCCTGCCGTGCCAGCCCTGCCCCTGTGGCGCACTGAGATGGGGCTTGAGACTGGGTATGGTGGCACACAGCTATAATCCCAGCACTTGGGAGGCTGTAACCAAGAGGATCACTACGAGTCCAATCTACGCAGTGAGACCCTGTACACCCTGTCCTAAAAAAAAAAAAAAAAAAAAATCCTATATAGGTAAAGGTCCATTTAATGTACAGACAGACAATGGATTTTAATTTCATAGCATGACGAGTTCATACCTAGGCTTCAGATTCCACAGTGCAACAAAGCTTTAAGAAACTACCTCATAGAATTTTGCAGTAGATGTGTGGGTTTTGTAGGTGTGTTGTATTGAGGAATATCCACAAATATCTACAGTGGTAGGATGCTTACAAATCATATGTGAGGCATGGGTTTAATCCCCAGTACAGAAAAATATGTATACTGATATGCTTTGCGCTTTCCAGCTTCATATCTGTGTGAAGCCAAGTTATCCGCAGGTCCTGCACCCAAAACAATTTGCCACAGACTGGAGGCAGAAACAATATGAGCAATCAGCTGTAATCTGTAAAGTGTAACTTAAAAGAGATTTGCAGAGAAAAATCTAAAAAGAAAACAGTCCAGTCTTCTCACCAAATGTTTTCCCTTGGGAAAATAATTTTTGAAATATGTTAATGTATAATAGATTTATTAATTATTTTCTTTTTCTGTACTGGGGATCAAAGCCAGAGATTTATACAGGCCAGACAAATGTACTATTATTATTTTAATAAATATTTAAAACTTCTCTCTGTTTTAATTTCTAATTTAGAAACCATTGAGAGGCAAAACCTACATTACAATTCTTTGAGCTCCTCAGTAATTTTTAGAAGATTAGGAGTACAAAGAGGCTCTGAGACCAGAGTTTGAGGTCATCTGGGCTAAGCCAGCCACGGTAACTGTCTCATCAGTGACTATGTGAACCAGATCATATGGCTCAACGAAAGGAAATCTCAGGAATTTATAGAACAATGGAGGATACTTCCATATCCTCCCAGATGAGAGCAGGCAGTGAGCAGCCTCGGAAGCTGCTGATGCGATAGTCATTTGCAGGTTGGGTATGGTGGTGCATATTTGTAATCTCAGCGTTCGGGAAGCTGAGGCAGGAGAATCACCATGGGTTCAAGGACAGCATGGGCTACAAAGTTAGTTCAAAGCCCACCTGAACTGTATAGCAAAACTCTGTCTCAAAAAGAAAAAAAAAAGGCCCGGGGCAATAGCTTAGTAGGATAAGCGCTTGCCTGGCAAGCACAGGGTCCTGAGTTCAATGCATGGTACCA